CCCTGCCCCCGGCGCTCTGGCCGCCGGGGGGAGAGCCGAGCCCCCGCAGGGGCTCGCCGCCCTCCTCCCAGGGCTCCGGCCGCCCTCCCCTCCGGCGCCCTCCCTCCGGCCGCCGGGGGGAGAGTGAAGCCCCCGCTGGGGCTCGCCGCCCTCGCCCCGGGGCTCCGGTCGCCCTCCCCCCCAGCGCCCTCCCCCTGGCCGCCGGGGGGAAAGCGGAGCCCCCGCCGGGGCTCCGGCCCCCCCCCCCCCCCCGGCTCTGGCCGGAGGCTTTTTTGCCTGGGGCGGCAAAAAAGCCAGAGCCGGCCCTGATTGCCTGTGTCATATAGGAGGTCAGACTAGATGATCTAATGTGCATGAAACGTGGGAGTGGCTGTGAGGTTGAGTGCCTCTGTGTTTTTAGAATCATATAAACAATCTCATCTTTTTTTGATCCAAACAAATACACTGATAACTTTTACATTTTGTTATTTTTGTGTTGGTGAATAACAGTGGGGTTATTAGAAGCAATACCAAATGCTCAGCATGATATTCATTTTGATCACACTTTTCTCCCATATCAGGTCAGTAACAGGAAGTGCTAGCATCAGAGATCTGATTTGCTTTGGATCTCTGCGAGCTAGGTGGATATTTATGCCCCAAAATGTGAAACCATTCAGTGCTAACTAGAATGGACAGCAGTGTAGGAAGCAAAGGCCAGCAAATAGACATAATTAGTAGTTTTGAAACAATAAATTCAGAACTCAGGAAGCATGAAAACAAATTCATTATTGATTCAGTCCCTGGAATGTTTGATTCTGTCTGTACCATACAGAGAATGTTATCAGCACCAAGGTTATGTTCCCTGGTTTTTTTTTAAACAGACAATTTACACTGTGGGGGAGGACAACAGTAGTAACTTGGTCATTGGACCATATCAGATCTATTTCATCTCTGCTCCCATCCCTTTTGTTCTATGCCTCACACCATCTCACAGTGTGATGAAATTTAGAGTTTTTAAATGAGAGTTACTAGAGATTTAATTAGAGAGAAAGGACAGTCTTGTGGTGAAGGCTCTGGGTGGGATTCAGGAAGACTGGGGGTCACGTTCCTGGCTCTGCCACTGATGTGCTACATGAGGGTAAGTGATCTAATCTCTGTGCCTTGGGTCCCCATCTTTAAAATAGGGGTAACTTTTCCTTTGTATATCTCATCTATTTAGACTGAAAGATCTTCACTGGAAGGGCAGTCTTTTATTAGGGCCCAGAGCCTCTAACTGGATTTAGGCACCTGGGCCTACTTAGTTGTGCCTATAGGCGCTATTGCAATACCAATAATAAGGCTCTATTTAATGTTGATTAACCTGTTTTAGATTCTCAGATGACAAAGGTTATGGTCAAAATTTTTACACTTGTGTGTCTAAAGCTAGGCACCAAAATCCATATTTAACTCTTAAAGAACTGGCCTAATTTTAAGAGGTAATGAGAGCCCACAATTGAGCAGGTTGATTCATGCTCCTCCTCCTCCTCCACAAAACTAGCCTGCTCCCTATAGATCTTAGCATAATTTAAAAGGGGATCAGGGGATGGGATTAACAACCCAGAAGTGTTTCTGTGCAGAGCTTTCCCCTTGAACCTGCCTCACTACCAGTTTTTTGGAGGTGATCTCTGTCCGAGTCTCCATTTCAGCGGCTGTTGTTGGTCTCCTCCTGTCAAGCCAGTTTTTCCTACTGCTTTGCTCATAGATTCCTAGATTTTTAGGGTCAGAAGCAAATATTGTGGTCATCTTGCATGACGCAAGTGATAGTTATTGCCTTGAAGCAGGACTCACTGGGTGAAATTCTAACACCCCAGGAACATCACTTTTCTGCTAGAGCTACCCAGAGGCCCTCATATGTGGCCCCTCCATTTCCTGTTCCAGACATGATGGCATCTCTGCTGTCTGCTGTGCTTCTACCACTGTTGGAGATCTTGAGCTCCCTTCTTCCACTAGGATCTCTCTCTGGCATAGGGCCACCTCAGGCTACAAGATCCAGTGGCTTTTGTCCTCAGAGCCAGTAAAGTTGTCAGCCCCATGTCAGATCAGTTGCAGGCCCATTGGGGAAAAACATTCCCATCAGCCAGTCCCATTTTTTGTGGGTAGGGGTAGGGGGAGTGTAGGGAGGGATTGACAGTGGGGGAAGCTGCAGGCTTTTTTGCCTTCAGCTTGGCTCAAGCACAGTCTATTCATTTATGTAAGACTAGAGCTAGCCTCGAGCTGTAGAGTCAAAGAAATAGAGACAAAGTCATTTTCAATAAGGACCTTTCATTGCCTACGAGTCAGGAAGAAAAGACCCTTTTGGTTACTCTAATCTTTGTTGGATTTGAATCAGATTCTTAAAAAGGGCCAGCTGTCAGTACCCCCCGCACATGCATGTGGGAAATCTAGAATACGCCATATTATTAAATCAAAAAGCATTCTAGCCCTTTAACCCCACAACACTCTGTGCTTGTTCTAGTGCACTCACCTGCACCTGTGTATTAAGTGTGTAATAAAGTAACTTCTCTTGTCTGCCTGGCCAACCTGTTTGGCATCCAGTAAAGGCCATAGTGCTAGTCTGCTCTGTGTGACATTCTCTTCTGCCAGCCCTTAGCAAGCCAGAGAATTTACGAAAGACAGACCGCACTGTGTTTTTTACATTGCTTCCTGTTCCCCTTAGTCTTTATTTTTGCACACTTGGGGGCTTTTCCTGCTGACTTACGGCTTTTGTTACTTTTACCTCTATCTGCTAAGAATATTGCTGATTGTTCAGTTGCGGGCGACTGACAAAGGGCAATGGAGTTAGTTTTACAGTAGAGTCCGGGACTGTCTCCAGGAGGCTTTCAACTGTTCCCATAGGAACAGTACAGGGAGAAAAGAAAACAAAGCGGACGTTTCAGGTTTCAGTTCTTAATTTTTATTTTTTATTCATGCCTTTCACAGATCTGTTTCTATAGTAACGGGGAGCTGTGACACCAGTATAGACGACCAATAGAGCCCAGCTCCAGTGTTATCCATTAATTCAGTAGCATATGCAAGCTCAGAATTGTGGGGCACCGGGGCAATGGCAGCACTAGGAAATGATGGGGGGAAAAGCCATTTTCAAACAAGCTGAATGTGAACACAGTGAGCTGGCTGGAGCACAGCAGGCCACGGAATACACTACAGCGAATTCTAAAAGCAGACTTGTCCGTGCTTTCTGTTTCATGTTTTGACCAGCTTCAGCTAGCTATGTTCAAAGTTCACTGGGGTTCAGGGAGAAGGGGAAAGCTGTGTTAAAAAAAATTGCTTTCAAACATGGCTCTCAAACATTTCCCTAGTGCAGGCAGGCCAACAGGCACAGAGAAAAGAAGTGGTTTGCCCAGGGTCACACACAGCAAGTAAGCAGCAAAGCTGGGAGTAACCTACATCTGACTCCTAGTCCAGTGCCCTCTTCCCCAGGACATGCTGCCTTCCCTCTTCATCCTCTCCAAAGCTGTGCACGCCACCACATCCTTCCTCCATCTGTCCTTATTGGAAATTCCTCCTTGAGTTGGGGCACCTCAAAAAGTTTAGTGGATCAGTTTGGCCAGGCATCCAAAGGCTTTGGTGCTCACCTGAACATCTTGAGTCTATAAAACAAGGCTGGAAATCTCACAAGAGCAGGCTCTCATGAGACTTCAGGCACCTCTGGTCTCAGCTGCAGGCTGAAGTGAGTGTCTTAGAATGACCTCAGGAAAGGTTTGGTTTCAGTTCAATTCCAAATGGGTGAAGATTTGAAGGTGAAGGAGCACGTTCACTTACCTGCATTGGTTCATCCTTCCTTATTCACTGTCCTGCAGTTCAATGGTGTGCCAAGCAAAAACACCACACAGCACTCTAGCATGCCAACTAATGAAGATACAGGAACATGCCGCGTCCCAGGTTACTGGGAGCTTTTAATTAATGTATTTAAACGCAGTATAAAAAGATAAAGAAGCGGGCTTATTGGATATGTATATCCACACACATCACTCTTGCAAACTGTTTCTAGAGTCTTGGGTGTTGTGACTGTCCCTCATGAATAATTTCATTCCCCACTATTGCCCTCTTACTCTCCTCCCCCTTTGCCTGCTATTAAGAATGATTTTATTTGCCTTTATCTTTCATTTTACTTTTTATTTTGTTAATGATTCTTACAGGGCCTGATACAAAGCCCACTGAAGTCAGTGGGAGTTTCTCAGGTCCATAATGCCATTAGATGTACCCAGTGCTTTACAAAACTGAGGGTCAGACAAAGAAAGGAATGCCTGCCTAAGGGATTTACAGACTAATGACACAAATGGGTACAGCTGAGTACACAGCAATATCAAAATGAACAAGCACCATGTAGATAAACACAGCATTGTTTGGTCACAGCAGCATGGAACAGATGATTGTTCAGGAGCTTCTTAGTGGAGGTGAGGGTAGAGCAGTGGTTCTCAACCTATTTACCATTGTGGCCCACAATGTGTTGTGTGTGCTGCATCCAATACTACCTGTATGGCCCTGAGAGATGTCACATGGGGTGCAGCTCTGTGCTGATTGGCCCACCAGTTGAGAACCACTGGGGCAGAGAGATACATTGATTGGAAGAATGTTCCAGGAGTACGGTATGACGTGGAAAACAGTACAAAGCAGCGAGTAAGAGAAAAGAGCTATCCACAATAAAGTAGGTAAAAAAAAAAAAAAAAAAAATCCATGAAAACTGGTAGGGGTTTTGCTTTGTTTTGAAAGCAAATTTGGTTTTTGATTAAATGAAATTTCTCACAAAAAGCATTGGCTTTCTGCACAGAATTGAGTTTTTGGTCAAAAACCAAACACCCAAATTTAGGGGTGGGGGTTGATGAAAAGTTGACATTTTCATTAAAATGTTCTGGGTGGTGGTGGGGAGACAGGAGGGGGAAATACCCATTTTCTGACCAGCTCTAATCAACAGTCAGGTTTGAGCAAGAGGGGCAAGGAAAGTAGAATCATAGAAACAGAGCTGGAAGGGACCTCTAGAGGTCATCTAGTCCAGAGGGCTGGACTAAATTGTACAGTAGAGAAGGAAAGAAATTATTTTAATTTGTCTACCTTTTACCCTAGGTAGGTTACATGGTTTACAAGACAATATGCAACAGAACCAATTGAAATCTTTGGTTATTTGACCTATATTGTTCATGGCCATGAGGTGTGAATTAGGGAGTACTTGGAAACTGAAGAGAAGTTTGAATTTATACAGAGAGGAGAGGGAATTCCAGAAGGTGGTTGAAGAAGTGGGAAAAGAAAGTATCTTGCTGGAGTGGTACTGAACGGGCTGAAATGTGGAGAGGTAGGAGATGGTGATGCTGGAAAGGAGGAGGTTACAGCAATAAATATGGGAGGTAACTAGAGCATGGGCAAGTGTTTGGGCAATGGGAACTGTGAGGAAGGGGCATGTTCTGGAGATGTTATAGAGCAAGTAACAACAAGTTTGACAAGAGCCAGAATCCGAAAAGGAAAGAACTGAGTCAAAGATTGCACCATGATTGTGAGCTTGGGGGAAGTGGAAGGTTGATGTTGTCAGTGGTGACAGAGCAAGAGAGGAGCAAGGCTGTGGAGGAAAATGATAAACTCAGTTTTAGGATGCAGCCATCCCTAGGTTGTGCTGTGGGCATTTTGCACTGCCCTTCATAGCCTACCATGGGAAGAATAATCTAGCGTAAAGGGATCATCTAGTGACCGAGCCAGTGGAACAGCTCATATGCCACCCCCCTCACCCCCGGGGTGCCAGTTCATGGGATGTGACTGGAGAAAAGGAACATATGTGGTGTATGTCTGTGCCCTGGCAAACCTCGGCTGTCAAAATGCCACTGTAGGGGGCCACTGGCAGATAGTATAAATTACAGCAGCCTTTGGGTTGCTCTGATTTACAATGGGGAATTGACCTGGTGCACAGCTCACCCAGGATTAGGGAGCATAAAGCTGGCTAAAGGTTTGAAGCCACCTTTGCTACCCTGTCCTGAGTTGCTTTCTGTGCTCACTCACAGCCAAATATGTGGGCCAAAGAATTACATCTGAGGTGGCAGCAGGAGACCCAGGAGGAGATTTTGGGGAGAGAGGGACATATGGCTTGTCTGCAGAGCCTTGGCCAGTATAGCTACG